ACACCACCCGAGATTCTCACCTAAAGAGAACACCGTCTGCCAAAATCCTCCCCAATTCTACTTGCTATCACCATCCATAAACGATGTCTCTCCACCCCAAATCTCCAAAGCCACTTCCCTAAGAGAGTCTTATTGACAGGTACCAGTCTTTTGATACCCAACCCACCCTTTCGAATCGGACTACACACCTGCTCCCAAAGCCACTACTTTTTTGACCAACGCGTCACTAGGTCTCCGATGTATATGACCAAACCATTTAAGTCTTCCGACAATACTCTTAAATTTTTTCACCAATGGGAGTCGCGCCTAATTTCCCTCTCATTAGTGACCCTATCTCTTCTAGTTACTCCACTTATCCATCTTAACATTTTTATTTCCGCTACATTAAGGCATTGTTCTTGTTTCTTTTTTACCTCTCTATACAACGTAGCATGGTTATCAAAATCGCAATTTTGGGTCGTAGGATCGCACGATCCTACGAACCAACATGCCCAAATCGATCCGAATTGCATCGAAATCATAGCTTGTGCAGAATCGCGGGTAGAATCGCTGGGATCGTGGGTAGAATCGTGGGATCCCAGCGATTCTGAATTACTCCATATTTGTGGTCTTGTTTTGGGTAGAAGAAGCCCTAGATTGATTACAGACTTTACGGTTCTTCTTTTTCGCGATCGACAAAGCAACTCTGATGAAGAGATAAGATGCCTAAGGAAAAAAAAGAGTTGCTAGGGTTTTGGGTGAAGAAGAAGAAGAAGAAGCAGAGGAGGAGGAGGAGAGAGGGAGCAATATCGAGACTAAGAGAACATACCTGAGAAAGACGAAAGGAGCTGCCGCTGATCTTTGGGTGTCGGCTGATTTCGTAGACTCGTACCATAGATATAGACAAAAGATGTATACTTGACCTAAAATCTATAAACTTACCGTATTACCCTTCTTGATATATTAGAGGCACTATGTTATGTAGCAGGGTCTATTATAACTATTATGCAACCAATCATATTTTAACCAACAAAGGGAAATAAAAAAATAAAAAATTATGAATTTAAAAGAATCTGTTTGAATATTTTTATATGAACTTATCCGTTATATAATGTACTTATATATATATATATATTTTTGATGACCCAGAACTCCCCAAGACAGGACCCTTTGGACCCCACCCTAGGCACCAAACTGGGGATACTGTAGCCTGCCCACAGCTACAATACCGGGTAAGTCAAGAATCTAGCAGGGGGTAAGGCTCGAACCCGGGCGAGTGATTACCCAAGGCCAACACCTTACCATCACTGCTAGGCCCCGGGGGCTCTTATATATATATATATATATATATATATATATATATATATATATTTATTGTGCTTTGGCGTATTCTCTATTTATTTTAAAGATAACTTTTGTTTACAAAGCTAGTTTGAGTTGTATTTTTATTAGTTTGGTAGAATCTTACGATTCACAATCCGATTCTACTATTCCGATTCTACGAAGTCCAAAACGATTCCACGTAGAATCCCGATTTTAACAACCTTGCAACGTAGTTGGTCCAATAACGGTCCTATAGAATTTTCCTTTTACACAAAATCACTCTAGCTTGCCTCTAATTTGTCCAATCCGCTCCAATTCTACTATTACATCACCATCTATCTCTCCATCTTTTTGTATCATTGATCCTAGATATTTAAAGTGGTTGTTTTAAGTAATCCTTTGCTTTTGAAGTGCTATCATTATATTATTGATATTCGAATCTCTATTAAATTTGCACTCCATATACTCGGTTTTAATTCAACTAGTTCTCAATCCTTTTGATTCTAAAGCATTTCTTCACATTTCTAGTTTTATTGGCAAGTCTTCTTTAGAGATATCCAAAAGTACGATATCATCGGCAAACATCATGCACCATGGAATCTCATTTTGAATTCTTTTTTATTTCATCTAAGATTATTGCGAATATGGGCTTAGCAATGATCTTGACGCAATCCTATGTGTATGCAAAACTCACTAGTGTCACCAGACATGGTACGAACTTTAGCTTTTGTATTCGTATACATATCTTGAATAGTTTTTTATGATTTGTAAGGGAATTTGTTTTCTTTGTAGGGCCCACCAAATTATACCTCTTGGGACCCTATCATATGCTTTTTTCTATGTATATAAAATTCATATGTAGGTCTTGTTGCTTATTCCTACATTCTTCAACGATTTGTCCAAGTATATAGCTTCCACTGTTGATCTCCCGGGAATGAATCCGAATTGGTTATCGGATACCATGGATTCTTTCCTTGGTCCGTGTTCTATAATCCTTTCCCATATTTTTGTTGTATGACTCATTAATTTGATTCCTCTATATTTGCCACATTTTTTAATATCCCCTTTATTTTTGTAAATTGGTACTATTGTACTTTTTCTCCACTCAATTGGCATCACGCCTTGTTTTAGGATGTTGTTCAATAATTTTGAAAGCCATTCAATTCCTACATTTCCTAATGTTCTCCAAGTCTCTAAGGGTATATTATCCAGCCCTACGGCTTTATTAATCCCCTTCTTCTGAAGTGTGTCCTCTACCTCCTTGTTGGTGATTTTATTTATCATGCTTATGTTAAGTTAATTTCCCTCTACTTCTTCTCTAGGGTATTCCTCATTTAATAGATTTTGAAAATAATTCTTCTATCTAATTAATATATCACTTTCTTTGACTAAAATTGTGTTGTCTATGTCCTTGATGCATCTAATTTGATCTAGGTCTTTAGTTGATGTATCTCAATTCTTTGCTAATTTACAAATATTTTTCTTGCCCTCTTTTGTGTAGATTTTCATATAAGACATTTAATGAGCTTTACTTAGCTTTCATTACTGTCTTCTTTGTTTCACATTTGAGTTTATTGAATGAGCTTTACTTGGCTTTCAATAATCAATTTGTGTTTTATTTGTTTCACTTTTAAATGCTATTAAATGTTTTTCTCTTCTTTTTTTTTTTTTTTTTTTTTTTTCAAAGAAAGTTTTTGTTATCACTAAGTCATATGCTTTTGCAAAGTCTAAAAGTGTTTCTCCTATCTCATTTGCGCTCCCCAAAACCATATCCTCCATTGAAACGTGTATATCCACATCTCATTATCCATTAAAATCACCATCTACAAATATGCTTTAATGATCAGTTATAGATTGTATCAATTCATCTAACGAGTCCCAAAAGAGTTTCTTTGTATTGTTATCTAATGCTCCTCGAGGCACACTTAGTATATTCAAGATGTGATCATGGCAATTTTAGTAGTTATTAATCTATCTCCTTGTTTTCTCACCCCTAGTACTTTATCCCTCATGTAATGATCTATTATTATACCTACTCCGTTTCGTTGGTAATCTTTCCCCGAGTAAAAAAGTTTATATCCTTCCCCAATCTCCCAAGCTTTTTCACCTTTCCATTTATGATTCGTTCGGTAGGAAGGAAAAAATTAGATTGAAGGGAGCGAAGAAGGGATGGATGAGACATCCCTAGAGAATAGATTGTGTCCTTCCCTCTTTTTGTTTGGTTGGATGGATGAGTAGAGAAGATGCTGACAATTTATTGGGTTTGTTAGGAGAGAAAGGAAGAGAGTTTTAAATTATTTTTACCATTATACCCATCACTATATGTGGTATTGTAATTTATGAAGTATAATATTGTAATTTTAAACTTTTATAATAACCCCACTTGTCTTCCCTCCTCTCTTCTATCCATATTTGGAGGAATGAAAATTTGTGAAGGAGAAAGGATGATTCATCCATCCTATTATCATTTCTCTCCTTGTATTCTTTCTACCGTACGAAGGAACTTCATTTTAAGGTATCCACTTGTTTAATACACCTACCTGTTAATGCCCCTATCTTCCATGTTGCTGTCCTATTTTTTTGTGACTTAATTATGTCATATTTTTTATTTGAGGAGAATTCATCAAAATGATTTGATGATAGGTTTTACAGTCAATTGTCTACCTGATACTAAACCACCTCCTTTGTCGCTTCTGGCCTTGGGTACCCGATTGGGAGTTATGTTAAGTCATGATACTAGCCCATAGGATACACAGGAATAGCCTTATCCCTTTCCTCTTGGGGAGGATTGTACTTTATTTTATTTTATTTTTTCTCTTTGAGGCTTGGGTTGGGTAAAAAAAAAAATCATTTGTCTATCATTGTGTTGCTGCTCACATGTTGATTTTTTAGCAGAAAATTCAAGGGATATTTTAGTATTATGTTGTCTTGTTATGTGGCCGGGGCGCAAGTTAAAACCAATCTTTTTTCTGAAGAATTCTCTGTTAGGGTTTCAAATTATGTGCTTTGTTTTCGACATTGTAATCATATGCGCAATATGTACCTGTTGATAGCTTTCAAATTGCTTTGATGGAATTTGATGTGTCTTCCTTTTGCCACATTTAATGGTTGAGTTCAACCTAGATTTGTTGATCCATGGAATAGAAGAGCAACTAGGTTCCTTTTGCCAACAAAAAATAAAGGTGATTCATTTCTCATCTCTTATGTTACTTGTTCAACTTGGCGTTGTCAGGTTTGTGTTGAACTATATAGTGTGTATGAATCTCATCAATGGTTGTTCCATTTATATATCCCAATCTTTTCCAGAATAATGTGTAACACGTCATTTTTTTCTCGTATCTGTTATAATTTGTGTCTATGGTCTGCCATGAAAGACCATATTCCATACAGAAAGTAACATCATTTTGCACACGAGGTAGTTAGAATTTCATCCATTTTAAGTCAATTCTCGTTCTGTGTGTGCGTGTGCGTGTGCGTACTGAAGTCATGTGACAACAAACTTGCTTTATGTAATTTGTTTGATTATCAGCATCTATCATCTTGAAAGCTGAATACCAGTTTTTCTGTTTATGTCTGCGTGCGTACTGCAGTCATTTGACAACAAACTTGCTTTATTTAATTTGTTCGATTATCAGCTATCATCTTGACGGTCGAATGTTTTTCTTTTTTTTTTCTTTGTTCTTATCATCTTGCTGCAGAGAGTGCTTGAAGAGAATGCTCCTGCTCTTGTTGCAGAAGAAGGAAGAAACAACACGTGTTCGAGGGAGGAGCAATATGCTGCTTCTCGAACAGCAATTGATGCTGATCTAGTACATTACTTTTTGGCTTTGGGCATTGCTTTATATTATCCTGAAACAGGTTTTGATGTAATGCAAGTAATCCCCTCCTGTTTGAACCGACTCTTAAAATTTTTAAAATTCATGGCAATTTAACTAACCATAAAGGGGTCCAACCCCTTGATATTTTGTTGAAAAAGCCAATGTTTCACTCATAGTCATTTATGCTATATGAAGATCATATTGACTTATATAAGCTGATGTCCTCTTTGGAACAAACTCATCCATTTCATAGCCATTGTATGTCAACTCTCCCCAAACCTATGGTATGCATAAACAATATATGATTACAAGAGCCATACTGAAAATATATGCGCGTATAAAAGATAAGCGGATGAAGCAAATCTGGGAATTAGTTAAAGGACTACAATATTTCTTACTTTTAGATCTGAACCAAGTTTCCCAGCCAGAGCTAGCAGCAGTGTGGTTTTTCCAGAGGGTGGTGAACCTAAAGGCAATGCCATTCTAAGTAAATTATCGTTCTCTATGCGTGTATGCGTGTTTGTACTGAAGTCATGTGACGACAAACTTGCTTTATATAATTTGTTTGGTTATCATCTATCATCTTGAAAGCTGAATGTTTGTTTTTCTGTTCATGTTTGCATGCGTACTGCAGTCGTTTGACAACAAACTTGCTTTATTTAATTTGTTCAGTTATCAGCTATCATCTTGTAGTTGGGAAAAGGCTTTGGTGGTGGTTGTTTTTGTTGTATCAGTTATCATCTTGAAAGCTGAATGTTTGTTTCTCCAGTTAACTGTGGTCCTGCGTGAATTTACTTTACTAGTTTGTCTGTGTGTCTGTACTGTAATCATCTGACAACGAACCTGCTTTACTTCATTTGTTCGGTTATCAGCTATCATCTTGACGGCCGAATGTTTTTTTTCTGTTTATGTCCTTATTCTTATCATCTTGCTGGTATCGCAGAGAATGCTTGAAGAGAATGCTCCTGCTCTTGTTGTGGCAGGGCTTGATGCAGGAGGAAGAAACAACATGTGTCTGAGGGAGGAGCAAGCTGCTACTTATCGAGCAGCACTAGAAGTTGATCTGGTATGTTACTTTTTAGCTTTGTTCATTGCTTTATATTATTCTGAAAAAGGACTTGATGTAACTCAAGTAATCCCCTCCTGTTTGAAATTGCTCTTAATTTTTTTAAAATTCGTGGCCATTTAACTAACCATAACAGGATCCAACCCCTTGACATCTTGCTGAAAAAGCTAATGTTTCGCTCAGTCATTTATGCTATATGAAGATCATATTGACTTATATTAGCTGATGTCCTCTGTGGAACAAACTCATCCATTTCATAGCCTTTGTATGTCACTCTCCCCATACCTGTAGTATGTATAAATAATATATGATTACAAGAGCCTTACTGAGAACACGCGCGCGCGCGTATAAAAGATAAGTTTTCTAGATCACAGACTACAATATCTCTTACTTTTAGATCTGAAGTTAGTTTTCCAGCCATAACAGGGTCCAACCCCTTGACATCTTGCTGAAAAAGCTAATGTTTCGCTAGGGGTGGCAAATGGGTGGGTTGGGCCGGGTTTGGGTTGGGTTAAAATGGGCGGGTCAACATGGGTCAAGACCCATATTTAACCCGTTCAGAACGGGTCGAAAATGGGCAGGCTCAACCCGTTATGACCCGTGGACCCATTAATTATTATTTTTAATTATTTTAATTTTTAATTTTTAAAATTTTTTAATTATTTTTAATTATCTTTAAATTTTTTTTTAATTTATTTTTAAATTTTTAAATTTTTTTTATTTAATTATTTAATTTGTTTAATTTTTTTTTAAATTATTTTTCATTTTGAAATTATTTTTTCGGAAGGTTTTAAATTATTTTTTAATTTTTAAAATTATTTTTTTTAGAAAAAATTTCTAGAGAGAGAAACTTAAAGAGAGGGGATTGATGAGAGACAAATTTAGAGAGAGAATTTTAGACAGAGAAATGAGTTGAGTGCAATATAAAATAGATGTGTGTTGTGTGTTTATTATGTGATGGGTGAAATATGGGTTGAATGTGGTTAACCATATTCAACCCATCTTGACCCTCAAATTAAGTGGTTAAAAATTACCCAACCCATCTTGACCCTCAAATTAAATATGGTTCACCCATAACCATTAAAAAGCGAGCGGATATGGGCGGTTGATGGTTTCTGATCCATTTTGCCACCCCTATGTTTCGTTCAGTCATTTATGCTATATGAAAATCATATTGACTTATATTAGCTGATGTCCTCTGTGGAACAAACTCATCCATTTCATAGCCATTGTATGTCACTCTCCCCAAACCTGTAGTATGTATAAATAATATATGATTACAAGAGCCTTACTGAGAACACACACACACACACACACACACACGTATAAAAGATAAGTTTTCTAGATCTGAAGAATGTGGGAATTAGTTAAATGACCACAATATCTCTTACTTTTAGATCTGAAGCAAGTTTTCCAGCCAGAGCTAGCAGCAGTGTGGTTTTTTCCGAGCTTGGTGGGCCTAAAGGAAATGTCATTCTGCAAAAATGATTAAATAAAATGAGAATCTAAGAGAGTTCATTATGGACAGTTATAATATTTTGTCCTCTCCACCTTCCAGGCTTGATGATTCCACTGACATCATGAAGGATTGGTAATGGTTTTTCTCTACTAGGAAGAATGTGGGGATAATTCATGAACCCCTTTAGAGAGAGAGAAAAAGAGAGATTGTAGGGTGAGTCTAATTTTTAAATGAAAAGATAATATTATAAATCATGCAAATATATGTTTGTATTAATTTAAAAGATGAATTAAATCTAGCATACTCATCAAGAAATTGAATATAGTAGGCAATGCTCTACTGCCAGCTAACTCCAACTCTGCATTTTTAAAAACAAGGAAAACCAAAATGAATAAATTATTAAAACATGCTTCAGGGATTTTTTTTTTAAACATGTAGACCAGCGTACAGTCTAATGAAGCAAGAGATGTATGTTTTTTTGTGAGATTACCGCTCAATGCGTTCCTTGAGCTTCAACAAGAAGCTCTCATTATCTTCCTTTTCAACTTTTACAAACCTCTCCAACAAATTCTTTTTCTCAGGTAGTCCAAGATTCTTAATATCAATTTCTCTTGGTTGGCCCTCTTCTTCAGTCACTATACTTCTCTTTATACATAGATATGGTGAATAGCAGCCCATTTGAGAGACTCTTCATCATCTTCTTCCCAAGAAGACTTTGAAATTTTTTCTATGGCATTGTATTAGAACTACTTCTACTACTCTCCATTATCACTGCACAGAGCTGCAGAGGTTAATCAACCAAAGTCCAATAAATTCTTTCCAAGTTTCCTGCAAAGAAACTTAAATGCTTGAATTTCTGCTCTCTGTCTTTCTTCCAGTGTTTATTTGAGAATCAGAAAGATACAATAATGTATCCCTCTTTTCTAATTCACCTATAGTTTGTTTTTGAAGGGACTTGGTAAGAAGGGTATATATACAAGTACAGGGGGTCAACTTTAAAATGCTTTGTTGTTGGTTGGCATGAGGGTATGTAATTGCAGTTCACAGAAACATGAAAAAGTCTAAAATAATTGAAACTGTGGACTTGATAAACTTGCACTTAAGATGCCAACTATTTATGAATAGATGGGTATAGGAATTTAATTTCACTCGAATATGCAATATTTTTTGGGTCAATGTAAGATTTTCCAAATAATTTTCAGTTGAGGTCTAATGAAAATATGCATACAACGTGTGTTTGTTTTCTCCTCTTATTTTACAGCAAAATGACCATCTTCGTGAGGGTGCATCCACTTCGCAAATAATTTGGTACTTGTTAACTTTTTCAAGCTATTATTGTGAATGTTACCCTTTTTAGCAGAACCAGCACAGGTATTACTGGAACTATCACCTACCAAATTAACTCATTCTCTAGAAGGTCGCATGATTTGGTACTCTAAAGAAAATAATTCGATCAACTCATTTAGGATGGGGCTTCTTGTAGAGTTGTCTGCCTGTCTGCCTTTAAATCTTTACCATATTTCTCCTGTATTGATTCCGGTGATCACCATTTGTATATGGGTTGGTGCTATCGCTAAATTTAGAGTTGTGTCCCAAAACCATGGATGGATTGACTCATTTCTTGTGATCTTGAGTTCATTAGGGGTGTGTGTGTGTGTGTGTGTGTGTGTGTATATTTACCGTATTTCTTCCTTTTTTCTATCAAATTGGTTCTGATATTTTATATATATTTGGTTTAAATTGTTTAGTTTATTATTTGTTTTTGTTTTATTTTCAGGTTGCAGATAGAGTCATCCCTCGTTATTATAGGTATAATTTGCATGCTTCACCTCTAAAGTAACATAAATTGTCATAGACTCGAAGAACCTGAACATGATTTCCATTTACCAACAAGGTACTTTTTGTCACCAAAATTTTTTCTTTTTCGCGGGCTTGCGGGCTTTTACACCGACTCTCTACACTCACATCAGCTGACTACTTATGCAATTGGTTTAAAGTCGATTCCAGTTCTGTTCGTAACTATACATGAGGTCTTCTTTTTATCACACATCATTACTACATTTTAAAATTTCTGATTATATATAATCAATATAATCTTAAGAATTCCTTGCATACAGGATTCATTTTTGCTGTCTCCATCTGCATACTTGATTTCGTCCAAGCGACGTAAGCGGAAGCTATGAATGTTCACAAGGAACGATAACAACTTTGAATCCACCAAGTAAGAGATAAATTCAGAGAAAATCTGATATTGTATTGATAATTGAATGAATGATTCTGCTCTTTGCATTACATATATTTATAATGAAAGAAAACCTTAAATCATAAGGAAACTAATTGCATCAGGAAAAATACCGGGAAACATAAATCTCGAAAGGAAACTAAAACTCAAAAATAAACCTAAAAGTAAAGTTTCTCTAAAAATTCTAAAAAAATAGATTAAGAAACCTAATCAATAAAAACTATTAAATATAAAAATTGAGAGCAATCCAAGTTCATTTAGACAATGAACGAAAAAATCCTGAAATAATGCCCTCCTATACAACAAAAACTCCATTTTGAGGCCCTAAATTGTGGAACTCAGCTGAAAAAACGACGTACATCATGGCGTAGCGGTGTCTTTGGGCCGTTAAAAAAAAAAAAAAAAAAAAAAAAACTCTCCTTTTGGGTCTGGGTCAAACATAGACACTTTGGGATCAGGCTAAAATATTTGTCGACATGCCCGTTTGGCCCTCTGGCGCTCCAAACGGGCCATATAGGTTACGTCATTCAGTTCTGCATTAGTCTCCCCTGCTTGAAAAGAACTTGTCCCCGAGTTAAGATTGAAAAAGCATGTCTCTTCTAACAGAAAGTACTAAAATAAATCTGCAACATTAAATGTAGGGGAAATAACCATGTCGTTGGGAGGTCAACAACATAAGCATTATCATTAATCTTTTTCAAAATCTGATAAGGCCCATATTTTTTTTGTCAAGCTTATTGTAGGTGCCAACAAGGAAACCTCTCATTGCGTTGAAACACAATAACTAAATACCCTTCTTGAAAAGCTTTCTCCGCCTCTTCTTGTTAGCTGCTTCCTTGTATTTCGCATTGGCTTCTTCAAGATGCTTTTGAACGTCATCTTGAATTGCATGGATGCAATATGCCGTATGCTATGTAGCAACACTCTTTCCAAGCAACTTCGGAAGTGGGACCAATTTCAGCGCATGCTTCGGCGGATGACAGTAAGCAATAGCGAAAGGTGATTTCTTAGTTGATCGATTGACCATGTTGTTTGGCATGTGCCAACACAAGTTTCCGTTGTTTTGGTTTTTCACCAAAAATACAACGAATCAGATTGCCCAAAGTCTAATTAAGCACCTCTATCTGTCCATCAGATTGCAGATGACTAGTCTTGCTGAAATTCAAAGATGTATCAAAACACCACAAAGTCTGCCAAAAGAGTGATAGAAATTTGGTGTCCCTATCTGAAGTGATGGACTTGGGAACTCCATGCAGACGAACAACCACCTTGAAAAATAGATTTGTCATGCTGAAGTGTGACATCTTCAAATAACTATCAACAACCACAAAAACTAAATCTACCTCTCGTTGAGTGTGTGGAAGTCCCAAGACAAAGTTCATGGAAAAATCCTCCCAAGGAATAGGTAGAGGGAGATAAAGACTAGTGTTTTGAGATTAACCCTTAGCAGATTGACAGATTGGACCTCTCTTCACATGGTTGCAAACATCCCTCTTAAGTTGTGACCAATAATATCGCTCTTGACCAGTGCTATGGTCTTATCTCGGCCTAGATGTCCACCCAAACCGCCTCCATGCAATTCATGAATAATCTGCTCATGAAGGAACTCCTCAGAATACAAAGCTGATTATCCTGAATTAGAAATCCCTTTTGTATATGCATACCCTTAGCAGCCTGCCCAGCGTAACACATAGCCAGAATTCCTTGAAGTCATAATATTCCTCATACAACTCCTTTACACAGTTAAACCCCACAACTTCAGCTCGCAAAGTCACCAAGAGTGCTGCTCTTCTACTAAGTGTATCGGTTACTTTAACTGACCCGCAAAGAGAAGGTAAATCGCTGCAGAAAGGAAACCTATCGGGCATGCATCTGGTTAAGACTATTCTGACTGTTGATGAACTTCAAAGCCTGATGATCAGTGTAAAGAACAAAATCTCTCTGAACCAAATAATGTTCCCAAACCTTCAATGCACGTACCACTTAATACAATTCAAGCTCATGGGTAATCCATTTCTTCCTTGGATCACTAAGCTTCCCACTGTAGAATGCAACTGGCCCGCCCTCTTGGGATAGGACAACACCAACTCCGACAACTGAGGCACCACACTCCACTTAAAACAATTTCTCAAAGCTTGGCAATGCTAAAATAGGTGCAGTGGACAGTCTCTCTTTAATTAACGCAAAGCTCTGTTCTACCTCTTCGCCCCATTATATATTCAGTAATGGGAGCCACAAGTTACTAAAAATCCTGATGAATTTTCGGTAAAACATCGCTAAACCATGGAAATTGCGCACATCGCCCACTATTTTCAAAGTAGGCCACTCTCGTATTGCCCGAACCTTTTCCTCATCAACCCGAATGTCTTCAGCACTCACCACAAAACCCAAAAATAGCAAACTGTTGGTCATAAAATTGCACTTCTTCAGATTAATGTTCAACTTGTTTTTTTGCAAAACTATCAGTACCTCTCTCAAGTGCGATTGATGCTCCGTTTTGGACTCAATATAAATCAGGATATAATCAAAATAGACAACAATGAATTGCCCAATAAAAGGTTTTAATACCCCATTCATAAACCGCATGAAAGTGCTTGGAGCACAGCCCAACGGCATCACTAACCACTCATACGAGACTTTTTTGTTTTGAAGGTATTCCATTCGTCCCCTGGTCTAATACGAATCTGATGATAGCCGCTTCTCAAATCAATCTTTGGAAAGATTTTCGAACGATTCAGTATATCTAACATATCATTTAACCGTGGAATAGGAAATCTGTATTTTATGGTGATCTTGTTGATGGCTTTGTTGTCGATACTCATTCACCAACTACCATCCTTCTTTGACATTAACAAAGTTGGAATAACACAAACTCATACTCTTTCTCACCATCCCCTTTTGAACCAACACCTTAACTTGACCCTGCAAAATGTGACTCCTTCGGGTTAATGCAATAGTGCAATAAATGCGGCAGATTAGCACCAGGCACAAGATTTATGTGATGCTAAATGTCTCGCGTAGGAAGAAGCCCACTAGGCAACTTGTCTGGAATAATCTCCTGGAATTCTTCTAGCATAGGTTGTAAAACTATTGGAATTATAGAAGGGGTATTAGACACCTCTTGTCCAACCACCAATGCCAAAACCTGTCTGGACTCCTTGGCCTCCTTAAAAAACCGTTGCTCACTGCCAATTAAAAGAATTGATTTTCCCTTAGCTTGTGAAATCTTGGAAGGACCCAACATAATATTCTTCCCCCCGTTGTCAAACATATAAACATTATCTCTTCCCCTATGAGTGACATTACCGGCAAACTGCAATGGTCTGCCCAGAATCAAGTGTAAAGCATCCATATCAACCACATCGTACAACGCCTTATCAATATACTTATTCCCAATAGAAATGGGAACTCTGCAAATATCTGTAACTCTTGTTTCTGGCTCTTTTTTTAATCCAACCAATTTTGTAGGGACTCAGATGCTTCTCTATCTTCAGCCCTAACTTCTGAACCATCGCCCTTGACATAATATTCTAGTCTTATTGACAGTGCACCGTGTCCGAAATTTATTTTTCCTCTGTGGATGATGTTCCTTCTTCGGGGCTAGTAACAACTTTCGCATTACTAGAGAATGTGAAAGTAACTCCCCTTCATCTTCTCCTATTACCTCTTCCTCGTCTTAGAAAGCCAACTTTTCGTCAGCATCCCTATCTTGATCCTCCACGCCCTCGGGCTTTATTTATTTATTTTTATAAATAAAAATAAAATAAAAAGGCGTTCAAAAGGGGAACGCGTCCCTTATACAAAAGTGGAACCGGGTCTGAGGCCTCTAAGAATCCAAAAAAATGATTAAATCATCGGAAGAGGAGCAAGCACTCCCTTCACATATTTGAAAAGAGAGCGTATAATATGAAGTTTCAGCGTCGCCGTGGACGACTCCTTCCATTCGAACATTCTGCTATTCCTCTCATTCCAAATGCACCACCATACGTAATGTGGAACAATTTTCCAATAATCGCGTACACCACTTCTCAGATAACATCCTCTCCAAGCATGAATCAAATCCTTAGAAGAACGTGGCATTACCCAAAGCATGCCAAACAAACCAAGTATAAGATTCCAATAGTCGTACGCCACGAGACAATGCATGAGGATATGATCAACTGACTCGACATCTTGTTTCCACAGGCCACCAATTTTTTTTTTTTTGATAAGTAAAAATAATATTAAAAAAGGCGTTCAAAAGGAGAACGCGTCCCAATTACAAAAGTGGAACCGGAGCTAAGGCCCCAAAGAATCCAGAAAAGTAATTAAATCATATGAAGAAGAACAAAAGCTCCTCTTCACATAATTGAAGAGAGAACTAAGAATGTAAAGTTTGACCGTTTCCGTAGGCGACTCTTTTCCTTCAAACATTTTGCTGTTTCTCTCCTTCCAAATGCACCACCATACACAATGTGGTACAATTCTCCAGAACTCGCGAACGTCTCTTCTCACTCGACAACCTCTCCAAATATGAATCAATTCCTTAGTAGATCGTGGCATAACCCAACACATGCCAAACAACCCAACAATAAGATTCCAACAGTCAATCGCCACAGGGCAATGCAAAAGGAGGTGGTTAATGGACTCCTCGCCATCCTTGCATAGACAACAGCGATTAACTATACAATTGCCCCTTTTTCTCAAATTATCAATTGTCAGAATCTTTACCCGCACAGCAGTCCAAACAAAGAAAGCCACCCTAGTTGAAGCCATAGACCGCCAAATAGTTTTCCACGAGAAGTCTCGATTAACAAAATTTGACAAACATAAGAACAAAGATCTAACTTCGAAACGATCATGAGAAGAGGGAACCCAACTTAAAACATCATTACCTCTGCCAACGCCCTCCTGTCGATACAGAAGATTCAAAAAAACACATACCTCGTCCATCTCCCAATCCTGAAAAGAGCGCCGAAAATGCACATCTCATATAATCC